GGAGGTCATTTTACCAATAAACATTAAGAAGATACTCTTTATTCAAATACATTGTTTGACTATGCCTTTTAACAAAGAATCGTTTTTCCTTTTAAGGTGTTGGACTCTTTCGTCCGATATCTAGCTCATGTGCATTATTTTTGAAAGGTGATATTTTGCCATTACTCCATTTGCAATAAAAGAAACTAGAAATTTGAAGTCACTTATCACAACAAAAGTGCAAACTAATGGGCATGTTTGGTTTTGCTAAATTCGAATTTTTAGTAATTTTTTATTAAAATTGATCGAATATGTGATTAAAAACTTGATAACATTTATAGGACCTATGAAATGTATGATTGAAGGTGAATATGAAGAAAATAAATTTTAAGAATGTGAACCAATCAGGTGTTACCAATCTCCTCAGCAAAACTTGTAAGTTGGGAACAAATACCAACAAAATATAAGTGGATGACCAAGTTGATAGAAATCCTGTAGATTGGGCACCAGGACTTCAATTTTCCCTAATTTATTTTCCAGTAATTGTAAGGATTAGACGACGACCTGCAGAATGGCACTCGTTTGAGTACTTAACTTCCTTAATCTGGATCTTGGAAGGTCCGTTCCATATTACCCGACCCACTGTTCGTGTAGCAAACAACATGCATAAACCACAAGAACCCTAACTAAATAGAATAATTTTTGAGGTACATAATGATGCACATAATGGTGATGTATCAATCATCCAATTGTTGATGTGTAAGTGTGAAATTTGAATTAAAGGTTGGATCATATGTCACGTGTAATTATGTGAACCCTTATGTAGATGTTTATATACGTATAGCATTACTCAACTAAATAATAGTAACAATTTCATCCTGTGCACGCATGTGTGTGTATGATTTTGGCTTCATCTGTTAAAAAAGTTAGCTGGATTGAGGTGATTCAAATGGGTGATCAAGTACGGGTCTCTCCCTCTTTTTATCTTTGTCTGTGTACAGTTAATTCAAGCTTAATTTGTTACTATCTGTATGTATGTACCTCCATGCAGGGTAGGATGGCAAAAAAACCCGACAAACCCGATACTCGTGGAGCCCCTCCCCGAATGGAATGGGAAAAACCCGCTTAAATGGGTAATGGGGCGGGAAATTTTACCCCGGGGCGGGGACAGGTAACAGGGTCCCCGCCCCGTTAAATTTTTTATTTTTTATTTTTTTTTGTTTAGAATTCAATACTTTAAATG